AGACTTGATAATTGAATAACTCTACCTTAATCCCTACCTACAAGAATTTTTTCTCTTCCAGAATCTTAAAAATAGCGTTATTCTTGCGACGTTGTTCTTAATCTTACAGGGAGCTTGCAAGTGATATCTGAACGACTTGGCACGCCGGTAAGCCGGAAAGCAAAAGGCAGTTCACCGATGGTGTTCATGGCGCCTGTGCGACTCCTGCCATTCGCCAGCGCTTTAAAATCTTCTGCCTCAACATGAAAACTGTATTAGGATATCTCTCGATGAATTTGCTTTGTGATGTAATAATAAAGATCAGTTTGAATGTCATTTCCCCATCTGTATGTTCTTGAGGTTAAGCAAAGCCGAATTAGATTGTTACTGTTTTTAGTATACTTTGTCTCGCGCAGAAAATATCTTTGGAGATATATTTCTCAATGTAAGTTTTGGAAAAAGCAGGTGGATGAATCACTGCGTAAATTTTGTCAATATCAACAGAGTGTGCCGTAGCTTTACTATTTTTAAGATACACTAGTTTCTATTTATCTCTTCTATTGATCTGGCCTTTAATGATATCGCTCAAACTCTGTTTCTACTCCATCCAAGATTGCTGAACTGGTCATCGATTACGGAAATTTTCCGAGAAGCAGTTTTAAGAAAGAAAACACGGTTTTTCTAAACTCGTTCCGATATCACTTGCAAGCTGCCTGTAAGATTAAGAACAACTTCACAAGAATAACGCTCCTTTTTAGGATTATGGAAGAAAGAAAATTCTTGTACGCAGGGATTAAAAAAGGGAAGACTTGCGGTTTAAAATTTGTCACGAATGCCTTTTGAAACAAATTATTTTGGGTCTAAAAACACCATGTCTTTCATAAGGAAAGCTATTTTGTTCTCGCTGTAGTGTTTATTCGTCTCGTCTCAACCGCATATATTTTCCATGATCATCAACGTATTTTTTTCGATGAGTATCAGGGATTTATTTTAATTCCTCAATTAACATGAATTGCGATTGGAGCACAAATGTGGAACACTCAAGTAGTCGGCAAGTGTGACGCTTACGACTTTATAACGTGATCTGCCATCACACAATGGAAAAACAATAATACAGAAACTCATTTCTTGCTTATCTATCAATATAAAGAAAGAGTAAATTGCCACTGAGGTTATTTTTGCGACTGTCTTCAAATATATCATAGATAATAACCAATCGAAGGAAAAAATAATTTGCAGTCTGGCAGATTATTGATGAAATGAAACATTGTCGGGCTGAAACAATATTGTCTCGCGAAAAACATGATAAAGTACGATAACCTTAACAAACATGAATTTAAAATATTGAGAGAGCTTTTTATTTTTCAATAAAATTAAACATGAACAAATAAAAGACATTTCTAACTTTTAACTAAAAAAAAAATCACTAAATTTGTGTAACCAAAAGGAATTTGACTGCAGACGTGATAAACCACGGCTAGTTGGAACCTTTTGATATCATAAGTCCTGTATTGGTTTAGTTTCTGGCATATGAAATGAATTATCAATTACATTATATTTTCAGCATCCACCTAACATATCTTTCTTGGAAATAGAGTTTTCAATTTATGTGTCTGAGTACTTTTAAAAAGTGGTTTTCCCAAATATAAGTTCTCAGGAGTAAATCAGAACGAGAGGTCTACGAAAATGAACCAAATTCCTTTACTTTAAACTTGATGCGAATTAAAACGAGAACTTAATTCTTTGGAGATCTTTTTGATGTTGCAATTTACTTAAGCATCAATATAAAAAAGGCAGAAGACTTGAATTATCAGCGAGTCGCTTTCAACGCAATTATTCACGTTTCACTAAAAATTGTTTCATCTTTACTGAATTTTGATTTGTAAAGAACTTGAAATTCAAACAAGAAACTTTAAAAAAAAGATAACACTGATTCATAAATTTACATTTTTATACTTAAAACTATGCATCTCTGATAAGTTAAATAAAATTTAAAGCTCATTCGCTCATTCGCTGGCGATATCTGTTTTAGTATATAGTGACCAGCTCATTGAAATTGAGAACATTTGTTTTGCTAACACGGGTTGCACAGCAACAATATTCGGTTCACACTTGGTATACATGGCACAATCTCTTTCAAATAGAAAGTATGAACTGTCTTCCTGATATTTAAGTATAAGTGTTTCTAGCAGTAAAATTAAATAAACTACACCTCAAAGAAATTATTTAGAGATAATTGGGGATATAGAATAATATTATTCACAAACTATATGGTTTATCTGATGACATTACATGACAGACGAACATTTTGAGAGGATTCATCACTATTTTTACTTTTAGGGTGAATAGTGCATTCTTTAGCCTATTTTTGATTAAAGATTTTCAAGGGTCTGCATTCCATGATCAGATACAGGGTGATATAGAGATCTGAACGAAAAATGAATTCTAATATCACCCAGAATCGGGTGCATAAAAGCAGTAATTTTGGGGGCTTTCTTTATTGGAGAAGTCAAGTTCTAACGGGGAAGTCAAAATGAAGACAACTGTTAGTTTGGCTTTATTTGGCTTTGTGCTCGCTGTCGGCTTTTCAGTCGCAGCAACTGAAAATGCGTTGACCGAAATGGCAGACGCATTTGAAGCAGAAAAAGCTAGAGGGTGAGTTGGATGGAGAAAATAACTATGAATCAAATCATGAAAGAGCAGCAAAATAGACTTTATAAAGGCGATACATCTACGGAGTTTCTCCTGTTTCACCAGGAAAAAGAAAGGAATACATGATGATAAGGAAATTTTACCAATGACGATTCATTGAGCTAGTGTCGGGAACTAAAAATAAGACCCATCTTTATTTCTCATTTTTCACTACTATGTCCTTCGAATGCAACGTAACTTAATCATCTGGCATATTTGCAAGACTCACTTTTTAAGAAACTTGCTCTTTAAAAACCATGGAATCCAAAGTTAATTTTAGAAATGAATTATTTGCTTTGCTTCATTGTGTTTGACGATTTTGAAAGGTTTCAATGGAAATAGTGAGAACATTGAAACTCGATCCTCGGCCTCATTTGAACAATTAATTATTGTGTCGCAGTGGCAATGGGTTTGTTTTGCATTTTAAATGTTTTTAGCGACGAATACATGATAGAGAATGATGGAGAGTTTGATGCGGAAGACCTTGAGGACGACAATGAGGCAATTCTTAAAAGGTACGTCGGGGACAAAGTTAGACTTGCTTCTCGTATAACGATCCTAAACCGTACGCCCCGTCTCCTGCATCTTCTCTGCGCAAGGGAAGTTAAAGAGCCTCACGCAGTTTTCGCTAAGACTAGGGAACATATCTCCCGTTGTTGTGGTCTGACCTTGTTCGTATTTATTCAGGTCTCCATTTTAAAATAACAAATAAATGAACAAATAAAGAACCAGCTCGTTTACGATTAGCTTTTGGAATTTTTTTGGCTTGGAGTAACTGAGATTTATGAAAGTTTCAGTTGTTAAAAATCAGGAAATAGAAAGTCAGAAAAAAGCAGTGGAAATGGTTTCATGATTTTTGTCCTTTATGTTTCAGGGGATACGACATGAGAGCGAACGATGGAGAGTTCAATGAGGAAGATCTGGAGGACGCGGATATGGCAATCCTTACAAGGTACGTTGAGTAAGATTAAAATTATTCTGATTACTTAAGCAAGACTTATAGTTTTGAAAACTTCCGCAGTCAAATGTACAGAGTGGGAAAATTTTGAATTTGTGAAATTTAATTAGCCAAGCAACACCCATGCTCTCATGATAACTGAAAAGAGTTCACTGCCTTTGCTGTGACATCTGCATATGGTTAGACGTTCCAGTCTTCTAAAATAAGGTGATGAGGTGTTTCCTACATCTTCTCTGTACTGATTAGCAATGCGATATTAAAGGACCCACACACTTCTCGCCAAGAATAGGGATCGTAGCTCCCGGTGTTGTGGTCTGACTATGTTATAGATTAAACAGGTTCCCATTTAGAGCAGCCTTATAAACAAGCAATTCGTTGACGGTTATCTTTTGCAATTTTTCCTGCACTCAGTAAAAACGACGTGGCAACCGAAAATAAGGATTTTGACGAAGGAGGATTCGACAATGACGATGATGGAGGCGAAATGAGTGACGAAGATGAAGTAGTAGCAATAGAAAAGTCAGCTGATCCCTCTCCCTATATACGCCAGTATAAAAAGTACAAACCGTACAAACCGTACAAGCCAAAAAAACCGTACAAACCGTACAAACCATACAAACCGAAAAAACCGTACATACCGTACAAACCGTACAAACCGTACAAACCATACAAACCGTACAAACCCTACAAACCCTACAAACCCTACAAACCCTACAAACTGCGCAGACGCTATCGTAGACGTAAATCTCGCGATTAATGAAGACCAATTTAGTGATGGAATGAACAAACGCCTGGTGAAGGTGAGTGGAAAAAAAA